CTCAAGGTCTTAATATAACAAATGAGATCACAACCCACTACGAGTCAATTATGGATTCCATAAATTTATGTGAGGGTCATAAATTTGAGTTAAATAGTGGAAACATAATTAATTTAATAAAAAACATGTTAAATTAATTGATGAATTTTATATATTATTCTTTTATTTATCGTTATTTACATTTATTGAATTATGAATAGTCGTATATATTTGAGAATCATAATGAATGTCAACAACCTTGTCAAATTTTTTTAATTAGCACCGCAATCTGAGAATTTTTCGACTTGAGGTCTCATAATGCCTTATATAAGAGTAATCATTTTTTGGTGATGTTGGATGTTGCTCTATTAAGAATCGTTAATACTATATCGTTCGGGTAAGTCATGAATCATATGAAGGTTGTGAATTATCAATAGAAGATTAATCACTCTTAGATAGTAAGAGATTATGATCCTTATTTCATTCAATTAAGTTGATAATGAAATATTTGACTAATCTGTACTCATAAATCAAAAAGAGTTTTTGACTTAGATTGGCTTAATAGTGGGATAAAAGATTTGATCAATAATCAAGATTGACACATTTTCATATCTCATAATTCATCATATCATATTCACAATGGATTATAGTTTCACGATAAATGAAAAAGTTTGATGATGTCATACCAAGTGCCGTTTCACATTACCTATGTTGTCCGACACATTACTAGATGTCAATTTGGGGACGACGAATGTGAATTGATAATAAATTCAAAGAGGTATTTTATTTTATCGACTTTGATTAGATCAAAATAATAATTTACGAGTTTACGCATCGTTATCGAAAATCTAATAGGTCACACAAAAATGAGAACTAGAAGAATGGTATTTATTAATTAATTGACAAGCATTGAACAATTATTAATTGGTTTGCTTGAAAATAGGCCCAAGTTAATTAATTGGATTAATTAAATATTAGACCAGATTACGTTTAAGAGACAGACTAAACACATTTGGATTTCTATTAATAAGTTATTAGAATTTGAGAATTAATACGAGACAATTATTATCTTGCTAGCACAAAAAAAGAGAAATCTTAATTCTCTCATTCTTGTTCCTTGAGTTGATTTTTATTAGAAGTTAGACAATTGAACAACTGTAAATTGCAAATCGTGAATCACAGTTTATTTCTAAACACAAAGATCCTTCACGAGAATTTAGGGGCTGTTCTCTTTGTGTTTCAGTTTTGTGTTTTGAGTTTTGAATTCGTTTTGTATTTTGTGTTTTGAGTGTATGTTTTGAAATTTCTGAAAATGCGTTCTGTTTGCCATTCTGAAAAACTGTTTTT